GAAGGAGAATTAAAGCATTAAAATATTTTTATGCTTTCAATATATGTCAATTTGCTTTTCTGCCTTCATTTTTTTTTTTTAGAACCCAACTACCCTTAACTCCACAGATCACTGCTATGATACTAATCAAGTTGAATATAATTATGATGTAATTGTTTATACCAACATATAGAAACACTACCCTCAAAGTAAAAGTTACCATCTTAGGAAACAGAATAAGTTATGGATACTGGTGAGGTATTTTTCTATTCATTCCTGAAGCTATCCAGAAGCTTTACATATGGCAGGTGTCAAAGTTCACTGTGGACACATTTTTTTTTTTTCTCCAGAACTAACAACAGAACTTTCTATTTATTAATCAAATGAGCATTCTACCCCTGGAGCCAATTTCTTCATAATAGGATAAGTTTGGCTTAAAAAAAAAGAATCATATCATGTATAATTGGCAATGATACCATATGGTAAAACCAGTTAAATTCTAATGGAATTTTGATAGTGACTGAACAAAGATTCACCATGGAAAACACAAAGAACCAAAGGTAGCAGGGTATTTCCACATACGGTGGTTAAAAATAATCAAACCATCCTGCATGGATACCAAATTATATGCTGTTTGCTTTACATATGATTACATTTAATTATCACAAAACTCTATAAAATAGATAAAATTATTCCCAATTCAGAGGAGAAACTGAGCCCCAGATCCCTGATGTAACTTGTCAAGGTCATGTGACATTACAAGACTAACAGAAATTCAAATCCAAGTGGTTCTGACGCTCAAGTTATTACTCCCTTCTATGATTATGCCTTCCATAAACAATTAGAGCTTAGGGAAGAAGGAAGGAAAGTGAACGGTATTTCTTTAAATCATCTGACAAAGTGTTTGCTGATCCATCACCATATAAAACCTAAGGAGAGAGACCAGAAATCAGAAAACATGGCTAGGCAAAATCAGAAGTCTATATGCAGAAGTCTGTCCATGGCAAAGGGCAAAGGGACAGACATAGGAAAGGAAAGCCTGGAAGATTCCATGTTCTCTCCATATAGGCACCAATTTCCTTTCCTAGACCTCAAAACCTCTCTTTTTATTCTTCAAAACAACTTGTGATATTGTTAAATTATTTTCAGAATTCATTATTCAATATTTTTCAATAATAGAAGAAGTAGGTGATTACAAAAACTACCGATTTTTATTTTGCAGGTAAATGTCAAGAGTACTCTAA